ACGGCACAGGGTAGCATTTCAGTAACATATGCAGCGTGTGACAGGAGGATCAGAGTAATTGGCGGTGTCCATCAGTTCGAACATTGATCACTGGTTTGTGTTGGAAACGTTGAAAATCTCTGCTACTGCTCTGAAATATACAGGACGTATTTCTGCCAACTATACTTACCCTGCCCTACTGTGCCATAGTGATAGGGAAAACTTTAATAGCGAAAACTTAGGAAACGTCACAATGTAAGATAACTTCTGCCCCTCACTCTGCTTAGTTCAGAATTAAACGGTACCAGAGATACCTAGTCTCTCACAAAAATTTTGTAAGTGAAGAGAACCATTGTTAGCTTTGTTAACCAAATACGCTTCCTTCCCCCTGGCTAGAGTAGGTAACTGAATAAATCTTAAAGGTAACTTCCCTGACAAAGAACTGCATCCGGTTGAAATTCAACTGCCCTGCTATTATGTTTTGGGCATCAGCGATGTGAGCTGTGAAAATACAATGTAACCAACTGAATGAGATCAAGGCTGTAAAACCCTATAAAAGAAGGAGTTGTAACCCAATGGTGGGTCGATCAGGGCATCGCTATTAGGTGTCATCGATCCCCATCCATGGAGTAAACTTTTTATTTTACTTCCATTCTGCTGCCTCTCTGTGTGTCACTTGCCAATTCCTTGCGTACCAGTAGAACACAAGAAGTCATTCCGCGTAGGCCGTTGTGTCCCTTGCTCTGTTAACCACCTTCACCCCAGACCTCCTCTCTCTCCCCTTCCCAGGCTCTGGTGCGGGCTTGAGAATTCGTGAATATAAGTGCTGAGGACAGGGTCAAGCCGAGAATGTGGGTGTCCTGTTGTTTGTCTCCCTGCCTTACCTAGGCCCACTAGATCCATGAATAATCAGTGACAGTGACGGCCCAAGAGCCCCGTGTGTGCTCAGCCCTTAACCTGCATCAAATCCATTTACCCGCTGCTGTCCCAAGCTACCAGTGATGCCTGTGTACAGGACACCTTCTCGCTCCCCACTCCACAGAGTGTGTGGTGCGTTCACTCTTCCTGTTCCCTGCTCTTCAGCAGACCCTCGGTCCTGGTCCCTGAGAAGAAAAGTCTGTTTCTGCTGATTCGGCTAAGTGGCAGATCCAGCGAGGTCTGCACACTCCTTCCTAGTTGTCTGGGCCTTAAATACGCTGCGAGGAGCCTTCTGGGTTTGCAGTCCAGGCGCACCCGCCCCTTAGATTGGTTTTTCTTTTGCATTCATCTAACAGCTCTGGGCTCGGTGCCCACTCCTCCCTCTGTGGACAAAGCTACTGGTCCTGCAGTGTGGGAAGGGGGAGGGGCCTGTTGGGACATGTGTGGGTCAGGGCTGCTTGTCTCTGTGAAAGACTCATTTTCTCCATCTGAAAGGCCTAATTGTCCTTTGGGCTCTGGACTTTGGGTTCTGTGAAACTCAAGATTAATTCATTAAATTAATTTTGTGTTCCGCCTCCTTAGGCTGATTAGCACAAATTAAATTTCACACTAACTGGCTAAGGTGGAAAGAACACACTCCCCACGCTTGGGATTCGTGCTGATTTCTGGGATGAGGTGGTGAAGGGTGCGGGAGTGATCCACGACATCCCTGGATGGCACTGGCCTGTGTTTGTGGCCATTGCAAAGTTGCACTCTTGCAGATGCTTCTTTGGGTCCATAAGTGAATCTAACCTCACCCCAAAGCCAAGGGTGAGGCCTAAACTAGGAAGAGAAAGAGCCCAGCAAGTAGCAGTCATTCTTAAACTTCCTTGTGCATGAGACTCACTCACAGGTTGGTAAAATACAGATTCCTGGGCTGTGCCTTGGTGATTCTGGTTTGGAAGACCCGAAGGCCCTGGAATGTGCATTTTATACTTGATCTTAGCCAAAAGGCCGAGAAGCAATTGGAATGTGCATTTTATTAATCACCCCAGGCCGTTGCAGTGCAGGTGCTCCTCCTTTGCTCCCATTGTGTACTTTTAGACAGTAGTGCAAAGGACAGTGAAAGGAGGCTCCTCCCCAAGGCCACCAGGAGCACCTCACTTGTGACCAAGCCATTACGCGGACCTGACAGATCTGTATTCACGTCTCAGCTCTGCCACTTACTTGCTATGTGACTTTGGACTCCTCCCTTCCCCCTAGCTTTCCTTTTATTCCTGTTTCTGTTGAATGCTGAGTTTTGGTGTGAGTGTTCACTGATGTGGTCAGTACGGTGGGGTGCAGATGGACTGGAGGTGAGACAGGATGGGGAACATAAACTAACGTAACTATTGTAGCCTAACTGTTTTCGACGCTACTTCACAGGTAAGTTTCTGTTTTCCGACTATGAAAGTGGTGTAAAAAATGAAGAGTATGGAAATGCATCACAGGGAAACTAGAATCCCCTGCGAACTGGCCCTTCCAGGAACAGCATCTCTAGTAACAATTTGGGACCATTTTGTTCTGTGCAAGTACGAGCAAGACTGGGATCACGCCAAACACTCTTACCTTTAACTTTGCATTTTCCCCCGCTTTGGTGGTGAACCTTGGGGCTGTCTAGTTGGTGTCACAATGCACATGCCTGTGTCTTCCTTCTTTCTTTTTTTCTTTTGGTGTCAGGGATCGGACTTGGGTCTTTGCGCTTGCGAGGCAGGCAGCGGAACCACTGAGCTAAATCCCCAGCCCTGTATCTTCCTTCTTCATGAGGCAGCTGGAAGGTTTTTGAGGCTGCCCGTGCACTGACAGTGTAGATGGGGACTGGCTCCGAAGGGCAGCTCTCCTCTGTGCCACGAGGACCATTTGGCTTCTGCTTGAAAACACGTGGACTCACCCCAAGTACCAGGCCCGACACAGAGGGTTTGTCACAGGTAGCTTGTTTCTAAAAAGTGGCTTCCCAGCTAAACATTACTGGGTTCTGGGTTGCTCGCCTCTCCTTCTGGAGTTGGATTCTAGCTGCTTCTCGCCTGGAACAAAGAATTGAGTGAAATGAGTAAAACGCAGTGGCAAGGTTTAATCAGTAAAGCAAAAATGAGGAATGGGAGGAAAACTGGATCTGCAGAGTGAACTTGGGCTGAGTACATAGAAAGGGAGGAAGCAAAGAAAAACGTATATGCCGCGTCTGGGAAATGCAGCATAGGTGATCGCGGAAAATTATGACTGCAAAACCTTGTGGCCTCAGTGTGTCCTTTTGTGCGAGGACGTCTACACAGAAGATCCCGAGAGGTGGTGCTGGCGTCCACACCTCAGGCTGACGTTAGGTCTAGCACCCTATTGCACATTGCTCGAGTCCTCACACGAAGCCCACCGCAGGACGTGTCCAGGATCTTGCAGGTAACAGGTCACACCCACTTCCCCAGCCAGCATTCGCCATGCCCTAATCTATCTTGGGCTGACAGATGAGCGAGGTGCTTTGGCATCTTTGCCTACAACATGCGTTGAAGGGAATCAGACTGCACAGAGGACGTTAAGCCTGCCCCGAATCCATTTTACAGCTCAGCTGACCAGGTCCCCAAAGGGAAAGAGACTGTCCAAGGTCATCCAACATGTGTCTTACTCTCCCTGTACTTGAGCTCTGTACTCTGCTTTCTTCTTTTCTTTTTCATTATCCACCCCTTCTCTCTCTCCTCTCCTCTCCGTCTCTCCGTTGGGATTGCAGGTATGTACCACCACACCTGGCTGTCTTTAAATCGTGCCACGCAATGTTTGCTGTACGTATACATAGTGAAAGGATCACTGCAATCGGGAAAATTAACAACCCAACATCTCATATATATTTTTTTAGTTTTCCTTTATTTTCTGGCGGTGGGAGTATCGGAAACCTACCCTCAACAAATCACCTGCCTTTTGCCGTTGGCATCAGCCTCCCACAAGTGGTGGCATCTGTTTTGTGGGCTGCCCCACCTTTGCGGACGGCTCTTTCTGAGCTTTGTGGCTGTCAGTGCCCCACCGATGTGCTTCTTTTCTGACTTGCTTTGTCATATCCTTGAACCCTGAGTGCTGTGTATTAGAACATCAGTACCACAGAAGCCCTGATGTTTGTCATTGATAGATGATCAGTTGCAGGTAAATTGGAAAACAAGCAAAAATCAAATCAGTGCAAGTGGGAATTCGTAAGAAAGAATTTTTCTTAATTCCACCCCTGCGTTATGTAGGCAGGACCACAGCCTTTTGCCTTTGTATGAACTTCTGACTCAAGCTCTGCTTCTTCCTCTCCTGATCCATTCCCTTAATATTCAACCATATAATTTCCAGCTTTGACATCTTTAACAGAGTAAGTGGCAAAGAACTACAAATGCAGGAACATAATTTTTACTTGTAGCTTTTTATATAGTATTTACACCTACATCTGTTTGACAGGTTTTTAAAAAGCAACTCACCTCTGTTAATTCTTCCTAAAACAGTTGTCAGGGAAAGTCCTTTTCCAGATTTGTGTAGTCTTCTCTAGGTTCATGGAATACATAACTGAGTAGATGATTGTAGGAAAAGTTTAACGGATGAAACAGGCCGATGCAACAGTGCGACTGTGGAAACACTCACAGTTGACACTGCACGGCTACCATCAGGTGGGCCATGGACACCTGTAGAAGGATTTTAGGCTGAGGGCATCCATGTATTCGTGTGGTCACTCTTGCAAGATGCTTCGATAAAGGATGGTTGGGAAAAGCTTCCATTAAAAAAATTTTTTTTTATTGAGCACTTACGGTGGCCAGACACTGTGCTAAACTTTTCACGAACTATCCTCAGAACAGTTCCTAGTTATCCCTTCTGTTTTAAAGTTGAGAAAGCTGAGAATCAGGTAAGCTTGGTTTGAAGTTACACAGCTGGCCAGCGTTGGACCAAGGCTTCTTCCACACAAAGAAGGGGAACGTCCTAAAGTCTGTGCCCTTGACGCCACGATTGTGCCTGAGGGCTGCTTTTCCCTTGCTACTGCTGGTTTGTCTGAGGTGGTGCTGTGGAGCGTGCATGAGGAGGAGGAGGAGGAGGGTTGGTGTCCCCGGTGAGTGACAGTGCACTCCCCACCCCAGGTTGCTGACCTGACCACAGAGCTGGCTGATGAGCGCTTCAAAGGTGATGCGGCCTGCCAGGTGCTGGAGGATGAGCGTGCGGAGCGGCGGCAGGCCTCCCGGGAGGTCCGGGAGCTCAGAGTGAGTGCTCACTCTGGGACAGCCCAATGGGGTGGCTTGGTGGGGATGGTCCCTGGTGCTCACGTCGTCGGGACTGCTGTGCCTCAGGAAGGCATGCAGTTGTCTGACTTTCATGCTGAAGGTGCTGGGTGATTTCTGTACCTTTGTAAGCCATGGTTGTGAAGGTTCCATGAGACGGCCAGCTTTAACCGCTGTCCAGCTTTGCTTTGGATGTGCATTAGTTCATGTGTGTTACTACAACAAATATCTGCTGCACATTTCTTTAGAAAGAAAAGAGGTTTGTTAGCTCACTGTTTTGGAGGCTGAGAGCCCACGACTGGGCATTGCTATTAATTAGTCTGGCTGTCGCTGAGGGCCTAATTGCAGATGGCCTCAGGGTGGAAGAGGAGGCTCCAGGATGACCCCTTGTAAGAACTCAGAGTCCCACAAGACTGGCCTTCATCCACTCTGAGCCACGCCTCCCGTGACCCAAGGACCTCCCAGTGGGCCCCACCCCTTCATGTCACATTGGATACCAAGCTCCCACAAACCGCTGGGGTCCAAACTCAAATGGCAGACCTTGAAGCCTTTCTTCCAGGACAAGTATGAGCAAGTCCAGAAGAATTTGGGAGAAGTGGAGAGACAGTTGGTAGAAGCCCAGCAGAAAATCCAGCTGAACGATTTGGAAAGGAAGCACACTGGGGGAGGTAAGCAGCCTGGGACCTGTGGTTGGTGGTGGATGTCGGTAGACAAAGCAAGCTGCCTCTCCTGTCACTCGCTCGTTCATGTGTTCATTCAGATACACGCTGAGCACTTACCGTGCGTTGAATGCTGCGTTAAGTGTTGAGACGCAGGCTGAGCAGAGAGGCACAGCCCCTGCGCTCTCTGAGGTTCCGTTCTAATGCAGAGGCAGCCATTGACAGAGATGGCATCGGTAACCCAGGTTGTCAGCTGGCTTGGGCACACACGCCTGCGATCCCTGCACGCTGGGAGGCTGAGGTGGGGAGATCACAGTCTGAGCCTAGCCCAGACAACTCAGAGACTTCGTGAAACTCTGTTTCAAAAAATAGAAAAGGACTGAGGATGTAGGTCATTGTGAAGGCCCTGGGTTCAGTCCCCAGAACTGCAAAACAAATACCACAGTGCAAGAGAAAAAACATCATCAACGTGGCAGGTACTGTATAATGCAAGACTAATAAAAATAATGGCTCTGTGAAGAAAAGAATGTTATATTCATGTGACTCTTTTAAGTATACATTTTGATGAAGGCAGTTTCAGGGTGGAACCCATGAAATTGCATTTCCAGATTTGAATTTTGACTCCATCTCTCATTGGACCGCTGGCTTTGGGCAAAGATACGGTCCTCATCTTTCTAATGGCCACAGTCATGAATGATCAGCAGAAGTGTTTGGCCCTGGGTGTGGCACGATATGCCAAGCAGCTGTTAGCTTCTGGGTCATTATTGAGAACTGATGGGGTCACTGCTGATGCTTTTAACGACTTGTGGAGCAGACAGCATCACTGCACAAGACCAGCAGGTAGCATCAGGGCCTGTGGTGGGAAGGTGGGAGGACCTCTGCAGTCCCCCATGATGAAAGTGCTGTGTAGGCCCACAGGCTCCTGGGCATGCCCTTCTTAAACAGCTTCCTGGGAATGCCCGTGTCTCTCACGGGTGGATGGTGTGGTGACATCTTTGTCAACTTGCCACTCTGCTCTTTCTCTCCCCCACCGAATGGAGTTGGGCAGAAAGAGTATGCATTGTGCTAGCCTCTAGGAAATGCTGACCTCATACCTTCAGTGTCCCCAGAGAATGTACATCGTCGCAATGTCAGGGACAGTCAGAAGCATAGAAGTCAAAGTCTGTGGAGAGGAGACATGGTAACTGGGCTTTTGACTGCACTTGGTCCTGCCCCTGTCCTGGTTACACCCATGGCAGGTGCTCATCAGAGATGTTAACACGGGAGTTTGAGGCTCTCTGAGAAGGGACGGCCGGCAAGGTAAGGTACCCATACCAGGTGGCGGGTGTATTGGCAAAGGACCAGTGGCATGGGACATACAATTCCTGCCAGAGAGTCTCAGCATCAGACCCATCAGACTGAGTGGAGTCTGAATGATAGTTCCTAGTTTGGTTTCCTCTGCAGAGATCAGGGAGTTGGTGAGATATGCTTAGCTTGGAGCACATTATTCACAATGCTAAATAGGTTCTCGGCTCTGCGTGCTCACTCCAGGAAGCCACCCTACAGATATTTTGTGTTTCGTGATGCAAGTGATACATACTCATTACAGAAAGTTTCTAAAATATAGGAAAGTTGAAAGAAGCAATAAAACACTTTAGTTATACCACTGCGGTGGTCCTGTACCCTCTTTCTGTGGATCAGGCTGGAGTATTAATTGTAAAAAATATGATTTTTCCTTATACATGGCTAAATATTTATAGAAAGCCTTTTATGTTATTCTCCCAGCACTGAGATTGGACACTGTGGGGTTACAGAAGAATTTTACTTTTGGCCCTGTTGACAAGACACTTGCTCTGGAAATGTAGAGATCTGATAAAGCCGGGGAAAAGGTGACTGGGTGATGCAGAGCTGAAGCACACACTGATGAAAAGAGACTGACCCCTGGGGCCGGAAAGCGGGAGACGGGTGAGCCTTGGAGATAGAGAACAGGTTCCTCATGCACCTCCGCTATTCTCCCCGGAGTCCCACAGCACGGAGCGCAGGGGCAGCTGCAGACGTCCTTCTACCGCTGCTTTTCTGTCACAGGCCCTGGCGCTTGTCACTTGGTGGGGAGACAGGATTCTTCTCTACCATGATAGTATTTACCCTGGTGGAAGCTGGGGCAAGTTTTAACTCCTTATTTTACATCATCTTTCTTTTGGATTCATGATGTGGAGTCACCTTTTCCAAGGCCTTGATCCTGCTACATCCTTCCACCCACTTATTCATCTTTGCAATCATTTATTTATTTATCTACTTGTTCATCCATTTGTCCATCTCTGCATCTATCCATGGGTGTGGATAGGAGATAGAGGAATAGATGGATATTCTCTAAAGTGCTCTACTTGGGAATTTATTTCTCTGTCTCTATTAACTCCCAGGGCATTATTCTGTTATTTAGATGGTCAGGAAATAAGACATAGCCTAAATGAGACCATTTCATTCAGCGAAAAAGTTGTAATTAAACCAGCAAATAATTTGGGGAGGAATTTTACCAAATGAATTATTGGAACCCAGGCCCTCATGCGTTCTAGGAAGGTACTCTACCACTGAACCACATTCCCAGTCTTAGGATGATTCTTATTTGCCAGATGATTTTGTTGAGTTCATCAGGCACTGGGACAACTTGTACTAATAGGTATGAGGGGTCTTCTATGTGTAGAAAACTCTGATAGAAGATGTTAGGAGCTCACGGATAATTAAGCAGCTCTTTTGCCCATGAAGACTATGAGATTTCACTGAAAAAAGAAAAATATGAGTTACTGGTGGAGATAATCAAACAGTATAAGGCAACTGACCTAAAGCATTTGAGCAGCCAAGAGCTTTGGACATCTCTCTCCACAAAAGAAATTCCTAGCCAAAAAACCCAAGGTTAAACAAAACTACTTTTTACATACTGACTTTATGTCCATATATCTTGGTGAATGCTTATCATTTATTAATTCACTTGGTTTTGTTATGCTGACGTTCATATAATCTAATAGTGAATGTTTTTTTCCCTTTTTCTTCAGTTTTAGCCTATTGTTTATTTTATTTTGTTGACCAGAACTTCCAGAAAATGTCAAGCATACGTATAATAGCATACATCTTCATCTTATTTCTGAATTTTTGATGTTACACCTTTCAGTACTGTTCTTGCTGAAAATTTTATTAAGGTCGATATTTATAGCTTTCAAAGCTCTGTATTTAAAAAAATTACCAATGAACACTAAATTTAATTAAAAAAAGAGCTTTAGGCGGCTGGAGCAGGTTGCCCAGAAGTGGTTTTTAAAAACATTTAGCCATAGGGATTTAGCCCAGTGGTTCCAGCGCCTGCCTTGCAAGCGTAAAGTCCTGAGTTCAATCCCCAGTACCCCTCAAAAAAAAAATTAGCCATAAAATATAGTTTCTTAACTTGAAACCCGAAGTTGAGGTTTCAGGGCTCCACTGATACTGTGAAATGGCACGCGTAAAACTGAGAAAGTAGAAGATGGCCGCTCTCATTCTTGCTTTGCATTCACGCGGCCTCCCGCCTCTCTGACACAGCAGATGAGTGGCAGATGCGTCTCGACTGTGCTCAGATGGAGAATGAGTTCCTCCGCAAGCGTCTACAGCAGTGTGAGGAGAGGCTGGACTTGGAGCTGAAGTCCCGGCAGGAGCTGGAGCAGAAGGTAAGGGGGTGGAGAGCCTGGGCCACAGAGGCGTCAGGTAGTGGGCAGGTGCTTACCTGCACTGAGCACGATCACAGTGTCAGGCGATCCTGGGGAGGAGAAAGGGACGGCCAGCTGGCGTCTGCTGCTGTTACCGTCCTCACTGCTGTGGGGTCCGGAAGCCGTTTGCTCTTCCTGTGGGTCTTCTAGTCAGGAGAGATTGCTCTATGGCACAAATGACCTGAACCCTGGCTGAGGATATCTGAGCTCCAGTTCCCTTTCTGCTTGGACTATATGGAAATCACGTTACCTTTTCGGTCTTCAGCTCTCATCTGTGAAATCCTTGCACTGTACTTTTAAAACAGTCACGTTTTATCTGTTGCCATTGTCTCTCTTCTAATCGTTTACATCCATGTCACAACAGGCCTCTTCCTTCCAGCGCCTGGCCTGCTGCGGCTGAGAGATCTCGCAGAGTCCCTGTGAGATGGTTCTAGGGTTGCGCGTCGTGTTGATTCTCAGGGTGAATTTCTTTCCCTGTGTTTTTAAGTTTTTGATTGGAATCGTCTTCATAGTCGCCTACCCAGTAGTCCCAGGTGCTCTGCACTATGGAGTGTTCTATTTTTTCTCTTCTGTCATAGCGAATGTGTGTTTAGCTGTTTGTCCTTATAGGTTGATCTCTAGCAGGAGAGTTAAAAGTTTTGCTGATTGTAGTAATAACAGGACGTGGGAGTTCTCTGAGGAAATGCTCTTGTACTGTCTTCTTCTGAAGCAGTCCCTGGGACGATGCTACATTTTCGGTCGAGAATTTTCACAGTATATGAAAAGGTGTTGAAAGAGGAAGACGCCTGAGGTCTTGACTTCCTCTGAAGGGACTTTGTGCCCCTCATTGAGCCAGGGTAGAAGGACGCTGTCTTGCCACCTGTCAGGCCAGTGGTGAAGAGGCTGTCCTTGTTCCTTCTTAACTGAGCCCCTGCTCTTTCTGGTGCAGGAGTCTTCATTCCCGCTCTGCCCTTCCGTGGCCTTGGTCCCCAGTGTTGAAAGGGTGTTCACGCAGAAACCTCTCCTTAGGAATATTTCTGGATTACCAGTGGCTCCTCTCCCTCATCCTGACTGCCGCAGAATCAGCGTGTGTCATTGTTCTGGCTGTGGGTCCTCTGCATTTCTTATATCCTGAAATTTCCCCATTCTTCTTGAAAATAAAGCAAGAAACTGCAAATAAAATCTTACTCGTGTGTAATGAAATCTTCTTTAGTCTTTCTAGATTAATACAGTGATGGCTTGACCTTTGTTCACCTTCCATTCTTTCCATCATCGGTTTAACATTCTAAGTGGTCTACGCTCTAACCAGTGCTGTACTGGCAAGTAGCTCGAAAAGCCCTGATTTGTAGCCCTTGCCAACCCATGATATATGTTTCATGCATGTGGCCAGTTTCAGATTATGGTGTTGATGTCACTGAGCCTCGAATCTGGAAGAGACACATAGAACTGGCACTCAGCACAAGCCGACTCTAACACTCTATCCACTCTAACCGCAGGGCTTTTTTCTCCTTCCTGAAATGCCAATTCTTTCTCAGCCCTGGGACTTTGCACCTGCTATTTCTGCTTTCTGATAAGTTCATTCTTGCTCTCCTTTCTGGATAGCTCCACTTTTTCTTAAGATTGCAGATTAAATGTCACTGTCTCTAGAAAGTCTTCAGTGACACAGTTGAGTCGGGGCATCCCTGAAATGTTTCCCCAGACCTGAGCTCTGCTGTGCTATATTGTAATTCTCTGCTTGTTTCTTGGCCTTTCCCATTCGGCGTACATAGGGTGGAGGCTTTCAATGGCTGCTCTTACTCTCACAGCCTCATTGTGAGAGGAAAACATGATGTGATCACCTAGCAGAGATGGGTGAGAGTGAGATCACACGAGATTCAGTGAACCGCAGAGCCTCAGTGTCCCCCCTGGGGCTGGTGATGGTCTAATGGTTGCTTCCAACAGGGTGTAATCGTGTGATTCTCAAGAGATATCCTGAGCGGTAAGTACACACAGGACAAATGCAGGGAAACAGCCCAGTTCTTTAGTAACAAATTATAAAGTCGGGTCAGTTTCCCTAAGGAAGGGGGATATTCATGCTACATTAAAAAGTAATAAAACTGCAACCTTCTCTGAGCAGCGGAATATAAGAAAACATCCCATTTGCCTTCAAATACTGAATTTAGAATTACAGGCTTCATTAACTCAGAGTTTTGCTTATTTAAAGCAATTCTTTAATGAGTCCATTTCTTCAAAGTGAGTGTGCTGAGTTGTCCTCTTTCCCAGATGTAAACTAGGACATTTGGGAGGGTGTTTCCTGGAAGAGGATGCAAGCAGCTTTGTGTCTGTGTGGGTTGAAGGCCACTTGCATGTCCCGTGATGCACTCTGTCTGGAATGCCATTTACTGCTCTAATCTTTGGGACCTGCCTTGCTTTCCTGGGCAGACAAATTATCCAGCTGTGTCTTTCTGGCAGTTCCATGGCCGAGCCTTCCCTGATGACCCTAACTGGCAGGAATTATCCAGTGTTCCACAGGCTGCCAAATTGAGTCCAAGCAGGTAAAAGATGTATGGGGGAGGGTTATTGAGGAAGAGAGGAGGCAACCTGAAGAGCTGGATGGAATTATACCCATTTTGTCTGTCAGCAAACTGAGGCTCAGACAGGAAGCTTCATGGAGGTGACCCCAAAAGCGGTCAATCCCAGGTCACTGGCTCTGCTGGGTCTCCTTTCTTCCCACGATGTCCCCTTGGAAACGGCACTGACAGAGCAGGGTCACTCATTCTGTTCCTCCACAGCTCGGAGAGTTGCAGAGCGCCTATGAGGAGGCCAAGAAGACAGCACACCAGCTAAAACGGAAGTGCCACCGTCTCACCTGGGACCTGGAGGACACGCGTGTCCTGCTTGAGAGCCAACAGAGCCGGAACCACGAGCTGGAGAAGAAGCAGAGGAAGTAAGTCGTATCCCTTTCCGACAGCTGGGCTGCCAGGGTTTCTGCCCCGGTGCTGGGGTCCTACGGGCCTCTGGGTTCTCTTCCAGAGCTCCTCACTTTTGTCAGGCCGCCTGGTCTGTGGGGCTTAACCCTCTTCTCTTCCCTCCTTTTCCAGCCCCCTTTCCTCACCTTATTTCCGTTTGGTTCTCCCACAGTCCCACTTGACTTCGGCCACCTGAGCCTCAGCCTCTCCACTTGTCCAGTGAGGGTTCATAGCACCACCACAAAACCATTCCATTCCGGTCCCATTGGTGCCTCTTTCTAGTAGTGTGATCTTGGGCTGCTGTCTAGCCCTTCTGGATCTCTCATTACTTGTCCTGCCTGCAGGTTCGGGGTGAGGACAGCCCCTTGTGGTAAGAGCTACCTGATAGGGTTGGGCATCCAGATGGACTGAATTTGGGTTTTCAGCCCATGTTGAAAAGGGTGCAAGAGGATCCAGAGGAAGAAAAAAAAAAAAGAGACTTTGCCCTTCTCATTTGGAAGTTAGACTCTCAGATCCTGGGAGCAATTCTGGCAGGACTGGGCCCAGTGTCCCCACAAGATGCCAGCACTGAAAGTGTACATGAGCTGCGTGTTTGCTGTGCAGTCAGAAAGATTCCCTCTCTCTGGACTTTCCCTCGTCCTTGTGGACAGGAAGCCCACCCCAGAGCCCTGAAGACCCCCGCGAGGCCCCAGGAAGGCCCCATGTCTCCGTGCTTGCCTTCCCTCATCTATCTCCAGGTTGGCCTGTCTCGTGAGGCCCACTGCTCTGCTACTCCTTTTCAGCAGGAGTAAGGTTTGGTGCTGATTGCTGATAGCGGATTCGCCTCCCAGGGGGATTAGCATTTTAGCAGAAGGACCCAGGGGCAGCAGAAGTCACGGCGTAAGGGTGGACATTAGGCAGAATGGCCATGTGCGGTACTGTAGAAATCAGCTATGCTTCCCTGCGTGTCTCCATGTGTAATCAGAGGTAGGTGCAGCCGTCGCCTTGGTGTGCTGGGCCCGGAGTGGAATGCAGTCTCTGTGCGGGTGGAGCCTCATCCTCTTCCCTGGCTTCGCAGTTCAGAGTGGACTTCTCAGTTCTTGTTGCCATGGTTATACCCCACCAGGTCATAAAGCTCAGTTCAAGGCTGATGGAACGCTCGGGGTGAGCCCTGCCTCGGCTCACTGGGTCCACACGTGGGGAGGCTGGACCCCAGGCCAAACCCTGGTGGGGTGGAGGGTGTGTGCAGGTCTGCTTGGCCTCAGGTGGCTGATTGGTCCGTGTGTTCCAGAAGCTAGGGTCTGCAAGAGCCTTTCTTTGGCATCAAATGGCCTGTTAAGTCAGGGATGCCTCTGGAACGTTAGTCCCTCGCCTGCCCCCAGTACCTCAGCTCCTCTGTCCCAGGGCGTGGAAAGGTAGATGGGATTAGCTAGGCCATCAGGGCAGCTGGGCTCAAGCTCACTTCCCTGACTTTGGGACTCCACACTTCAGTTTCCTCTTCTGTAAACGGATGTAGTAACACGTATCTTGGTATACGTCTGAAAGGACTGCAGAGACCCCAGTACAAGGCCTGGATCCTTGGGACTGCTGGATCACCACCAGCATTACAGTGCTTCCATTCAGAGCAGCAAACATTGCCTCGAGAATGATGTCATTAGCAGCCAATCAGAGAGCTCCTGGGCTGCCCCAACAGTGAGCTCCAGCATGTGAGCTGTGTGAGTGGCTTTCAGGAGCCTGAGATTTGGAAAGATAGGCTAGTGTTACGGACATCGGCTGATCTTATAACAGGGAGACCTTCTTGTCACTAGTGACCAAGCCTCAGGTGCCACCCAGAGTCCCAGAATCGATGTGGACGGACTTCCTGTTTGTGACTTCAAGGCACACCTTGCAGAGCCTTGGCAAAAGATCCTTTCACAGTGTTCTCATCTGTGAGACAAAAGAAGGCTGTGCAAACTTAAGCAGCCTGTCAGAAGGACCAGAAGCTGCTCCTGACTCAGGGACACTATTAACGCAGGGCCAGAGGGCCCTAGGGGGACGTTCTAGAAAGATGCCTCTCAGTGGGACCATCTTGTCTTTGTGTCTGCTGTTAGGGAGACAAAGGAAGACAAGGGAGAATGCTTAACTGTCCAGAATTTTACCAAAAATGAGCCTGCTGTAATGTGTGTCCACCTGAACACATGACAAAACAGAGAATGTGAAATATCACGTCGTGTGTGGAGATGGAAGAGCGACTGTGTATACACATACATTTGTGTGTGTCTGTATGTCCATGTCTGTTTCTGTTTATATTTGTTCATTGGTCTGTGAATTTTAGATACCAAATTTGAGCCCGGTAGAGTTAATGGGTCTTGACAAGCGTTGGAAAACTAGGTAATTTTGTTTTCTCTCTCTATGTAAAATATTTATATAGCTTTATATTAATGTATATTTAGTTTTTGATCAATATGTAGTCTTAGTCTACTTTTGTTTTAATTTTAAAAGGTAGTTGAGATTTTAGTGGTAGTCCGTGTTTTGTGGGCACTCCCTCGAAGCCCTGAATCTCACTGTGTGGCATCCCAGACCCCTACCCACATCGCCAGCCCTACACACAAGCACCAGGCGTCACTCCCCTTGCCTTGTAGCTCTCGGGGAGCTCATCGCCTCTCTCTAGCCCCTCCCCACCCCTGCCTCAGTTTAACCTCTTCAGGCTGTGACCTGTGCTCTCTCCTGGATAGGTTTGACCTGCAGCTGGCCCAGGCCCTGGGGGAGTCCGTGTTTGAGAGGAGCCTCAGGGAGAAAGCGAGCCAGGAGAGCAGCAGTGTGCGGTGGGAGCTGGGCCGGCTGCAGGAGCAGCTGGAGGTGAGCGGGGGGCGAGGACCATGGGGCCATCCGGGCTCTTGGTTGCTGGGTGTCTTGCAGGTGCTGTAGTCAGTGACTGAGCGAACCTCATGTGGGTGTCCTGGTCAGGCATCTAGAGTCATGGTGCCCAGTGTGTCTTAGTAAAACCAGCTGCGGTCGGCAGATTGATAATCAGAACTCTGCAGCTTGATGTCATGATCTTGCTCCAGTCTCTTGCAGGGTCCAAGGTGACTGCCTGGGACATACGAGAGGCTAAGTAGAAAATGAGTTCACTATAGCCCTGCCTTGTCCCTCATAGGCTCTTGTCCAGAGGGATTTTATTAAACCATGACATGGGCTCTTCTCTCAGCTACTCCTTAGCACTTTGTGGCTCACTCTTACCCCAGGGGAACTGTTGCACCCCTTAGCTTGGCATTCACCTCCTTCATGATCTAGCCCGAGTTCTTTACCTCGGGAGCCGGCCTCCATGCTCCAACAGCTCTCTCCCAGCCTTACCGGATGCACGGAGGAGCGCCCTTCCTTCATATGCTGAGATTGAACTCCAGGGGCAATGGCTTGGTCCTCTCCCTGTGCCCTCCAGCACCACCTCCCAGGACCTATCACAGCTGAGCCAAAGAGCAGCCCTTGGTGGGTCCCCCAGGGGGTGCTGTGGGAGCTGTGAAGGGGTGATAGATGTCCCTGAGAAAAGGGGAAAGCGCTGCTCTCTCCAGCAGGCTGCAGAGGCCTCCCTTAGGGAAGGGAGGGCCTGTTCAGGGCACTGCCCCCCATGAAAGTCATCTTTGTCCCCTTTGTTTCCCTAGCAAAAGGATCAAGAGACCTTGAGGCTGAAACAGGAGGTGGAAACGCTGCAGGAGCATAAACGGGAGCTGCTGGCATCTCCCTCTCTAGGGGAAAGTGGTGTGGCTGGCCTGAAGGAGAGGCTGTGGAAGCTGGAATCCAGTGCCCGAGAGCACGAGAAGGTCCAGAACCAGCAGGAAAATACCATCAAGCAGCTGGAGCAGGTGGGAAAGTCCTGGCCAGGGCAACACTCTGCCCCGGGCTGGCTCCAGTGTAGCAAATCCCAGTACGGGCACCTCACTGCACTGCTCCTTATCCTCCTGTGGCTCCCTGCTACCCCAGAACACCTCTCTTCAGTGTGATATTCAGATCCACCTTGATTTAGACCACTCCTGCAGGTCAATGTCACCTCCTCAAGGGAGCTTGTACCTTGCAAACAGCTGCAGCTCCATGCCATGTTCACTTTTCATCTCCTTAGTTGTCCTTTGTAACATCCTCTATCAGATATTGTATTAAAATGTTTTCTTAGAGACTTTCTCTCCCATCGAGGGAAAAGTTTCGAGAAGACAGGCCACTTTGGACCAACTCTGCTTATCAGTGTGTCCTACAGCCTAGAATGAGACCAGGTATGCATTTGTGCTCCATAGGTAACTCCTGACCAAATACGGAACACTTACTGAGCACCGTGTATAAGGCCTGGACTTAAGCTTTCCACACCTGTCTATTGGGAATCTTCGCTAGAACCTTTCTGGGGGAGATGGATCACGCCCACTTTACAGAGGTGGAAGTTGAGGCTCTGAGACACGGAGAAAATAATGAGGGTGTGATTTGAACTTGAGTCATCTGAGCACATCAAGCCTTGAATGCGTGCTGTGTGCAGAGCCCTGAGGAGGAAGGGTGTGAGTCTTGGGAAATACCAGTAGGGAATGGGGTGGGAGTCTCAGGTACTCAGTGTCCGTCACCTTCAGCAAAGGCTGCGTCTACCTCATTCTGAGGAGCACTTGAAGCTGCTTGCAGATGTGTATAGAACAGTGATTCTGAGTTGAACAGTCTGAACTAGAAAACTACAAAGTAAAATAGGCACTGAAGAGGGAGTAGGCACAGTTAATGTGGGATAGAAGAAACATATCTTCTGGAACACTTAATAGATTTAAAATTTCTGGTGGCCAGAGAGAAAAAGGAATGTGAGGGATCTGTTTTTGCTTATCCCCAACATAAACAAAAACAGGTTTTCAAGGAGGCAATGAGATGAGGCTTGGCTCTAAAGACTTTGCTAATGTCAGATTTTGTAAAAGGCATTTTTTTGTTGTTGTTGTTGTTTTTTGAGACAGGGTCTTACTATGTATTGAGACTGACCTGGAACTCACTATGTAGCCCAGGCTGGTCTCAAACTCACAGCAATCCTCCTGCCTCAGCCTCCCAAGTGCTGGGATTACAGGCGTGCGCCACCACGCCTGGCTGTAAGAGGCAATTCTGTTTTAAAAGGCTGCGAATCCCTTATGCAGGAAGATGTAGACAGGCGACATGAATGTGTGAATCAGATCTTGACTGTTTCTTACAGGATGGGGCTTCTGCATGTGCTGGGTATGGAGGGTCAGGGTCAGGGTCAGAGTCTTGGGTGCTGATCAAGGAGCAGTGACTCAGTCAACTGTGTTTATTAGGTCCTTCTGTCAGGCACTGTGGGAATGCTGAGGATGCAGGCATGACCTCCTGAGGGTCGCAGGCCTCCTCAGTGTTATTGGAGCATTGAACTTGGTGACCTACTCTTGGGGGAGAGCTGGAGAGAGGTTGGGAAAGAGGCAAAAAGCCTCTCAACAAATCTGAAAGCTGGGAGTTGACTCAGAATCGATTGGATGAGAGTTCCAGGCGGGGGGAACAGCCCATGCATCAGTCCTGTGGCTGGAAGGTCATGTGACAACTAAGGATCCATCGTATGGTCACATCCAGATAGGGTCATCATCCCCGTGAACTTAGCCAGGTGCCTGCTTGCTCCAGTCTTCGGTCTCCTCCCTGTAGTGAGACATGGAGCCTGTCACACCCCAGGCTCCCTCCAGCCCTGGCCCTGAATCTGAAGATTCATGTAGAGGTAGGATGTCTGTGTAGGGATTTAAGGGACACAAAGCGTAGCTGCCCTGGGCTCTATGAATGAGCGGTTATCTTTGGTGAGCCAAGCATTCAGCAAGCACTTTGGAAAATTGCTTTAACTCTTGAAAATACCACCCCGGCACCACTCACGGCGTGGGAGCAGCGGCACGTGGCGTGGCCTGGGGACTCACAGGTCCGTGCCCCTTCCTAGTCTTCCGCTTTCGCAGCGCAGGAGCAGAGGCCGGCTCCACACTACTCTCCACTGTTGGCTTTCCCACTGCCTCACACTGCACTGTGTTCTTGCGGGTATTTATTCACCACCACACAGCACCCTTCCTCAGGGAATTTTATGTTAGCTTGTATGAGCTGGACACAAATGGTACTGCAGATGTCAGGAGTGTCCAGGAGACAAAAGAAAAAAAAAAAAGGAACAAGAAATATTATATTTACTTGCTCAGCTCCTCATTTTGATCATCTTCCTATAACCTCTGTCATTTTAAGGGAAGGAAGGAGGAAAGATGGCTGACGCTGAAAGTGAGCCTACTTTAAGCTGGGAACTGTTACCAGGGGCTCTGTTGTGACTGTCCAGCCACTAGAGCCCTATAAGGGGGATACTCTCAACAATATACACCCAGATCATGCTCATTTCCCCCTCAACTTAGTTACCTTGTTAGGGACAGCAGCTATGAACTCCTAGAGCAGGTGTGAAGTTAGGGTTCAGCTTAAGAGTACTCAGAAGGGTTTGGAGGCTGCATCTAAATGCTGTGGGAGAGAGAGTGATGGATTCCTGATGTCTGTTCTGACTGCAGGAAGGAAGGGGGCAGCTTTTGGGATTTGTGGGAGTTAATGTGAGCCTCATCCATGCAGGAAAAGTGGACAGTGCAGTGAGGATACCCAGGATGTCCCAGGTGGGCCACAGAGTGGCAGTGGCCATTCTCACCCGTATGTCCTTATTGTCCACAGCTTCGACAGCGGTTTGAACTGGAGATCGAACGGATGAAACAGATGCACCAGAAGGACCGTGAGGACCAAGAGGAGGAGCTGGAAGATGTCCGGCAGTCCTGCCAGAAGCGGGTGTGTACACTGTGGGAGGAGGGCCTGGGGCCTGGGGCCAGGGACAGCTCTTTCTGCAGCCTTCTGGGGACCTTAGCTCCCTCGGTACTTTCAAGGGTCCAGAAGAACCTGGACCTTCCAGAAACTTCTGGAATTGCCCGGCAGAGTCACCCCAAGACCACTACCAGTAGCCCCTCATATATGTGGCTGATGCGTTGAGAGGACTTGTGAGTATCAGTCAGGGCCACCCGTTTCCTTTCCACTCAAACCTTTTCTTACATTTTATCCACGCTCTCTGCCAATGGTCCAAGCACTTTTCCACCTAAAAACCATTGTCACTGCTATTTAAACATTCTTTTGCCTCCCTTTCCCTGTGTATACACCTGCGCATGGGTGTACACATCCACTTGCACTAAGTGAGCTTTCGAAGCCTCCAGTTTTCACTCAGCAGTTGGTCATGGCCTCTGTAAATCCAACATGTGCAGTGGGTTGTGGCTCCTCCCCAGTATTCTGCTCTAATTCGTTTGAATGATCCCATATCACCGGACATTTAGGCTCGCTCTGCTCTCTGTTATTATAACCAATGCTGAGATAAACATGCTTACGGATGACTGACCAGTGCAAGGCAAAGATGAATCCTTGAGGAGAAATTGCCCAAGCGAGACCTTTGGGTGAAGCCTTATTTACCTTTTCTGGCCCGACCCTTCCCTCTCTCTCCCACCTTACCACCATCAGACCTGTGCACACCGGATGGAAATATTCTGTGGACTGCATTGCAGAAAATGGACTCTTGCTCGATATACAGATTTTATGATTTTGAATGTTTTCCAAGATGTGTAGCTTTTTCAGAAAGTCTTCTAAAAACAGACATCGGCAGAGTAATGTCTGTTTCTTCTCCTAAAAGAAAGTGTTGAAGTAAATGAGTCTTCCAACAGTCTGCACGTTTCCCTCGGTGGATCAGGAGACGGAAGCCCCTGTCTCCGCCTGTACTCCTGTGGGGGAAGGGGGCACAGATCATCTCCAGCTTGTTCCAAGAGGGCCTTGGACTGTGGTACATGCCCTGGCCCAGGGATAGGATGAGTTGATGATGTGAGCCGGATCTGTCTGGGGCGTCTCCAGGGACAGATTTATAAAGGGAGAGAGTGAGCAGATGAAGGCATTTTTCTCCTTATGATAGACGCTAACACTGACTTCCCATTGTGGTGGCTGCTCTGTCTGGCCTGTCCCTCACGGTGGCAGAAAGTCGATTTTTAGTAACCTAGGGTGTGCTGTCGCCATCTGGGATGGCCGGAAGACTTGGAGTTAGGAGCAGAACCCTAACACCTCAGCATCACGTGATTTAAGATCATGTACTTTGGATGCTCCCTGGGACTTAGTGTGCCTGTCTGTGAAATGGGGTCAGCAATGCCTCAAGGTGGATGTGGAGGGGATCAAATACTACCGGAGGTAGAGGTCCATTCTGTCGGAGGGCTCCCCGTGACTGACCAGTTCTCCCTCTTGTTGCCTGGCTCCCTAGCCTTTAGGTTCTTGAGTTACCCCTCAGACAGAAGCCCTTCCTTCCACTTGCCAGGGCAGCTTTTGTGGAACAAAGCCACAAGCTCCACCTCTCCCTCCGCCCTCTTTGCCTGTGGGATTGTCCTCCGGGCATTTGATCACCCTGTGCTCCATCTGCTCTGTGTGCCCACAGCTCCGGCAGCTGGAAATGCAGCTGGAGCAGGAGTATGAGGCCAGGCAGATGGTGCTGCATGAGAAGCGAGACTTGGAAGGGTTGATCGGAACCCTGTGCGACCAGGTAAGGCAGAGGCACCGGCCTGCCTCCGTGCTGCTTAGAGATGGCTCGGCGGGAAGCTGGAGGGAGGTCATCCTCCTGCCACCCAGCCTGTCCGCTGGCCTGTCCCGCACTGCCAGAGTGCCTGTTGTCCACCAGTCTCATTGCTGCACATCCTCACCGGCTCCTCAAAGGGGCACCTTCAGGCTCTGGTGCACAGGGCTCTTAGAAGAAACCGTGGAATAGACGTAGTGGGCCCAGTTGCAGGTGGGTGGGTGGAAGCAGTCTTGCTGCCTTCAGGGTCTCTTGGAGTGAGTATAAGGTACGATCCAAAAATAACTGCTGAGGGTGGTGGCGCACACCTGTGATCCCAGCACTGGGGAGGCTGAGGCAGAAGGATTGCTGCGAGTTCAGGGCCAGCCTGGGCTACACAGTGAGACTGTCTCAAGAAACCAAAACCAAAAACCCAGAAACAAAACACAGAACAGACAAACCCCACGATATGCTGAATGTTCAAATTTTACAAACTGTATTACTGTAAAAGACACGTTACCATTATTCCTACTCAAAAATGTCACCCTCGCTTCAAACACCCTTATTCTTGCCGCTTCTGAGGCAGTGCTGAAAGCTTCTTGTGTTGTGCCTACCTCGATGCTCAGAATCAGCATAAAATGCGTACTTTTCATGGTCATTCTGACTTTGGCAAAGAGCCAGGCATCACACAGTGCCAGAGTCCGTGAATACGGTGGACCTGCGCAAACTGTCACATTTATGTGCCTCCCTGCTGGGCGGCAGCTGGCAGCAGCACTGGCCATACTTGGGATCACACCTTGTAAAGACACAGTAGAGAACCTTCCAGAGCAGCTTCAGAAAGTGACAGGAGCAATGGGATAAGTTCAAGGCATAATTGGAGGAGCATTAATGACGACACGTCTTTTATTGTAATGAACTTGTAGCCTGTAAATGCTCATCCTTTATTTCCCTCGTACCTCTCGTAGGCGTCACTTGTTCTGGCAGGGCGAGCATGGACACAGTGCGCTCGGGGGTGGCCTCGTGAGGAGAAACCTTTTGCTGGAAGCAGCCAGGCTTGGTGTCAGCATGTCAGGCACATGGCTGGGCTGTCTGTCTCCATGGTTTTGGGTGGGCTGTTTAACCACTCAGACCTTCTGGAGAAGCAGAGCCTCGCGGGGTTTTTGCCATCGTTGAACACCAGGGGTCTCCTCTGCAGCACTGTGAGCCTTAGAGTGGGACCCCGCTGAGTGGTGAGGCCTGGCCTGTGTGCTGCAGGGTGTCGAGCAGCAGTCCTAGCTTCTCCCCACGCGATGCCGGCAGTGACAGCCACACACGTCTGCAGAGATCGCCAGATGTCCCCTTGGGCAAAATCAGTTCCCTCCTGGTAGAGAGCCGCTGCTAGGCCAGCAGAGTTCAGGGGCAGCCCTGACTTCAGAGTTGGGAGTCATTGCTCCTAAACCCTCAGCATTCCTTTCCCTGCCCAGAGGGGCTGCTGTCTGAAATAGTTTCTCTTGAAGAATCATGGAAGTAGTGTAAGGCATTTGCTCACATGCTTATAATGTCGATTAATTAGTTAGTAATGGCTTTGCTGTTAACCTCCTTCTCACAAGTTGTTGACTTTTTTCAGAAGGGAATGAGGTTGCTTCAAATGGTCATTCAGGCAGCCTGGCCCTGGACCAAATAGATGCTCACTATGTTTTAAAAACTAAATGGAGTGAAGTCGTGTGCTTGAGAGCACGGCTGCCACAGCAGTGTGAGTGAGAGTGAGAAGCTCAGGGAACCAGCAGCAGGGTGGGCACTGGCTTTTTCTGGGTCGTCTGGATTTTTAGCGAGGCACCCGGGACTCTGGAGTTCAGAGTCATTGAATTGCTGCTCCTTCAGTATTCGTGCAAGGCGGCACAGCCAACACCTGCTCTGGAGGGACAGTCAGGAGTTCCTGGGAGAAGTTTGCCCGCACTCAGCCCCTGCGTCTGAGGACGTGGTGTGGGGCGTCTGGTGGGAAGGGGGTCCAGGCCGAGTGAGGGGCGGCTTCGTGGGAGAACCTGTGATAGCTGCGTGTGGCCCTGGGTTCCAGCCCTGGCACTGCAGAAACAAAACAGAAGCAACAAAGACAGTTTTTATAAATACTGCTAAAATCAGTTTTACACAAAGGAAACCTTAGATGCATAAAACAACAACTTTGTGTTAGTCAGCACACTGGAGGCTTTTAATAAACAGTCGCATTGGGTGATGTTAAACATTTGTGTTATGGCCGTTGCCAGCGCCATGGAAAAAAACGTAGGATGAAGAATGTGATTGATGTAAACAAGCACCTAAGGCAACAGAAGTTAACATTTGGTCATGTTTGATTCTCGTGCTTTTGAGGAAGCAAAATCTCTCGAGACCTGCTGGTGGCCCTTGGTGTCCCCTCCTAATCTCATGCTCCCTCCCTGCCTCCCTCCTTCCTTCCCTGCCTTCCTACCCGGAGGAAACTATTGTCCCCAGGGTTGGAGTGTGCAGTTCCCGTGTATATATATATATAGTTAAACTGCAATCACGTACAGTCTGTGTGATTTTGTACTTCGTCCTCCTTTATGCTGTTTTGGAGATTAGTTCATGATAATAATAGGAGTAGCTTGAATGCATTCGTTTACCTGCTAAGTAGTATTACTCTTCTTCTTTGGTGCATGTTTTGTTTGCACCTTAACACACAAGCTGCCTTACATATATGTATGTTACTGTGCACATGACAGTCTCCCCAGGGTGTGTAGCTAGAACAGGAGTCGCTGGCCCCTAGAGATGCACAATATTGGAAGTATTAGTATCACCCAAATGGTCGCCCCGGGTGGTTGTGGGATCTTCTGTGTCCCCAGCAGTGTCTTCTGCATATCCCCGCCACACAGCCTGCTGTAAGACACATGCGGGGTTTCCCAGGTGTGGGGTTTCGAATGGGCCCGCATGTCCCTAGTCACTAGTGGATCCGTGCCCGTGCCGTGTTCTCCGCCGTTGCCTCATGCGGACTGACTGTTTTGTTCCCCTGTGAATGATTTATGATTCTCATACCAGATGCTAATCCCATTTTTGGTAATAGAGCTTGCAGATGTCTTCTGACTATTTCATTTGTTTATAATGTCTTTCACTCACGACAGAGCTTTTAGTACTCATGTCAGTCCATTTTTATGTTTTCTCTATTTTAAGACTGCTTTCCTTGATTGCATGTTTTATCATATTTCTTAAAGTTCTAAAATTTTGCCTTTGATATTATTAGGGCTTTATCTAGATTTTATTTGGGTATGTTGTGTGAGGTAGGAATCCACTTTTCCCAATTGGGATAATCCTCATTTTATTTCATGAATATTTTTTTTCTATAGTTTTTTTTTTTAATTGAGTTTATTGGTACATTTAGGGATACAGTACAGTTACATTCATTGTTGGGATCATGTACCTTTACATGGCAAGTCTTGATTCTCATTTTGTTCCCCTTACCTCTGCCCTCCCTTCACCCCCTCCTCCCCTCCCCATCTACAAACACTTTATTTTCATCTTTTCATTCTCTCACATTTTTTTCTTTTCCCTTTTTGTTCTTCCCCTACGTATCACACCTTCCCTACACCTTTAGCTCCTTTCCTCCCATTTCTAAATGTCAGTAATCTTATTAGAATCTTATGCATTGTTGCAGAATATTCACACCAGGGAAACTATTCGGTATTTACACATGTGGGCCTTATTTATTTCACTTAGGAGTATATCTTCAATATGTATCCATTTTCCTATGAATGAATCTATTCTCTCGCTCTTTATGGCTGAGTAATATTCCATTTTATAGAAAAACCACAACTTCTTTATCCAGTTTCCAACGGATGGGCAAATAGGTTGTTTCCAAGATTTAGCTATTACAAACTGTGCCGCTATAAACATGGGTGCACATACTTCTCTGTGATATGATTCTTTCAGTTCTCTTGGAAAGATACCCAACAGAGGGATGGCTGGGTCAAATGGAACCTCCAGTCCAAGCTCTTTGAGGTATCTCCATATTGATTTCCATAGTGGTTGCACTAGTCTGCACTCCCACCAACAATGGAGGAGGGTTCCTTTCTCCCCACAACCCCGCCAACATTTGTTATTGTGTGATTTCTTGATAGCAGCCATTCTTTGTGGGGTGAGGTGGAATCTTAGTGTTGTTTTCATCTGCATCTCTCGAATGACCAGTGATGTGGAACATTTTTTCATATATTTTCTTGCTGCTTTCACTTCTTTGTACTAGAAAAAAGAATCCAAAAATTCATTTGGAACCACAAGAGACCTAGAATAGCAAAAGCCATTATAGGCAACAGTCACATGGCACCAGGTGTAACAATTCCCAATTTGAAACTATACTACAAAGCCACTGTGATAAAATCAGCATGGTACTGGCAAAGAAATAGGCCTGAGGATCAATGGAACAGACTGGAAGACACAAAAACAAATGCAGATGTACTCAGCTACCTCATCTTCGACAAAGGAGCTCACCATCCTCAGTGGAGGAAAGATAGCCTCTTTAATAAATGGTGTTGGAAAAACTGGATATCAACCTGTCACAGATTAAAATTAGACCCTTATCTTTCGCCATGCACTAAATTAAAATCCAAATGGATTAAAGATCTAAATATTAAAACAGAAACATTAAACTTGCTGGAAAGTAAGTTAGGCAGAACTCTGGAAGACATTGGTATAGGAAAAGACTTTATGAACAAATCCTCAGTAGCACGGGAACTAGCAGAAAGAATCAACAACTGGGATCTCATCTTACTAAAAAGCTTCTGTACTTCAAAAGAAACCATTAGCAGAACTAAGAGACAACCTACAATGTGGGAAAAAATTTTTACCAGCTGCACCTCAGACAAAGGACTATTATCAAGGATATATAAAGAACTCAAAACAATCAGTCCCCCCAAATATAAAGACCCGATCCAAAAATGGGCATCCGAAATGAACAGACATTTTTTTCTATAGTTTTAATTCCTCTGTGTGTGTGTGTATTGCCTCCCTACTCT